GGGGTTCTCAAACTGTAAGTTGTGACCCCCCCCCCCCCGGGGATCATGAGCAACTCAGAAGGGGGCAGCAAGCTTCCCAGGGGGTACGTGTGGCTGCACCGAGTGGTGGATGGTGACGGCAGCTGCTGCATGAGAGTTTCCCCGTGCCCTGCTGCCGCCATCCAGCACTCGAGTCACGGTATCACAAAGTTTAAGGACCCCTGCCCTATTCAATGCCCTCCCTAGCACCCAACATTTATTGATTTAGAGACGCCAAAGAAGGCATCTCCAACTGTTCTGTTCAATAGCCGTTAAAAGATTTATCATCCGGCAAGGCTAGCTTCCTCCAGCAATTCCTGTGGCAATGAATTCCGCAAGTTAACTACCCACTGCATAAAAAAGTACTTTCTTTTGTTAGTTTTAAACCTGTCACCTACTAATTTCAGCAGGTACCCCCTTGTTCTAGTATTCTGCAACTTGGTGAACATCTGTTCACTTGATCCACACCCTTCATGATTTTATAGACCTCTATCGTATACCCCCTCAGCCACCTTCTTTCCAAACTGAAGGGTTATTAGCCTTTTTAGTCTCTTCTGATAATGGCAGCTCCTCCAGGCCCTTGATCATTTTGATTGGCCTTCTCTGTACTTTTCTAAGTCTACTACATCCTTTGAGAGGTGTGGACCAGAACTGTGCACAGTGTTCAAGATGTGGGCGCACCATAGATTTGTGTTACGTCATGATGTTCTCGGTGTTGTTTTCAATTCTCTTCTTAAGGATGCCTGAGATGTTGTTGGCATTTTGTTTGCTGCTGCACACTGAGCTGCCATTTTTAGAGAACTGTCTACAACAGCTTCAAGATCTTTCCTGAGTTGTAACTGCTAGTTCAGAACCCAACGTTGTACATGTATATGAACTCAGCATTGTGTGCATTTTGCTTAAAAGGGAAATTAATGGCAACTGGGATTAAACTCAGCAAATTCTGACTCCCCAGTCTTATGCTCAGACTTCCAGATCACTGTTGACTCTCAGCAACAAATCGTAGGGAGAGATTTCTACAGCTCCAGCCCTAGATTTAGTCAATCAAACTAAAATACAGGCACATTGGCTGCCTTCTGACCCTTGCTTTGAAACTAAATGTTTCTTGTTTTCAGTCTGTATCCTTTTGTGTAGCTGCTGAAGAGTTAATAATTTCAGATGTGTGGTTTCACTGGAATCGGATATCATGAACGAGTGAGAGGAAAAAACTTTTATTTATGTTTTAAAATGGAGTAAAGAAGCATTTAAAAATTGCATATTAGCATTAAGCATCTTGTATCCCTGCTATCTGGGGAAATGGCAATTACCCTTGCTTTTCTGCTCAGAAGGTGGAAGAACTATCACTTTGGAAGGGAGGGGAGGGGCAGGGAGAGCTTCCAAATTTCAACTCCTTCATGTGGTTTTTAAAATTCATTAGGGAGGAGATGGTAAAAGAAGAGGAAAAACAGTCAGAGGAATGGTGAATCCTACAGGGACATGCACCTGGTCTCTTTTGAAATGTGACTTAATACTAATTGAGTTTTCTCCTCTGAGGGCAAGAGGAGATAAAGTAGGAGAACAAATGAGCAGAGTAAGAAATGAAGGACTCAGGAGGAGGAGTCTTGCTTCCTTCTTTGCTATGTTCCACCAGGGATTCCTCCTCTTTTAGAAGCAGCAAATTGGTTATGGGAGAGGGGGTATGACTTTGACTCATTTTGTGACTTTGAGAAGTTGAAGTGTATCTTCAGATCCCCACTTTAATATCCTGATGTAAGAGGGGCTTTTCTTCAACTCATGGAAGCCAAAAAGCTTTTTGTGGTGCCGACTTTTTTTTATTCTTTGTGCAGTGTATTGCATAATGGAGGCTTGACCTGTGCTTGGAGGTCCTAGGTGTTATTGTAATGCAGACAAGGAATAATTAAGTATCCATTTTCTCTGACTGTGTAGGATAGTTTCCTATCGGATGCAAAAGAAGAGTTTAGGAATTAAGAACATTTTAATTTCAGAAGTCCATTGTTATTTTTCCACAATATCAAAATAGCAAGGCAGAGGGCATTTCCCTTGCACATCGTATCTATTAGAAATACTTCATTAGTGTTGCACAGCAAACCAGTACTGGTTTTTGAGGGAGCTTTGTACACTACAAAACAAGCCTGCACCATTAAATGCTAATCCTCTTCCTTCTCTCAATTAGAAATGAGATTCACCTGAGCCCCTCTTCAACTTTTGGTACCAGCTCCTCTGTAGAAGGCTTCATTGGTAGTTTGACAGGGGTTAAAACTACCAGGATCTACTGAATCCCTCCTGCTGTGTCCTTCAGGATAAATTAAATGAAAAACTATCAGGATATATTAAGGTTCCTCTTGCTTAAGGGCTCAGCCCAGTGAGGAGGTAGTCTCTGAAACAAATAACAGGTCATTTTGAGGTGGTGTTGGCTTACCATCACTTCTTGTAGCGGGCAGCCACTAGGTGGAGAGTATGCAGACCTTGAATTTGCCTAATTAAACCTCCTGGCTTGAAATTTTGGCCAAACCTGAGCAGAACTAGATGTTTGCTTCAGTGTTTTCCTAGCTCTGGTCATCTCCGCATATTTAAGACAGCCATTCTCCCATACCTATTACCTCTAAATGAAACATGACTGCGCCAGCTGTAACATTTTGCTGATGAATATCAAAAGAAGAAGAACTCATGGTGAAAATCTATTTTCAGGGCTCCCTCTTGTCACCGACTGAAGCTTCAGATCCACTGTAATAAATACTATTGGAGAAACTGAGTCTCTGTAAACAATTGAATAAGAAACTGCAAATGGTTTTATCTCCTCCGTTTTGTCTCGGCAGGTGAATCTGTGTCTGTGATTAAGCACACTGACCCCATCCCTGACCCCAGGGCTGTCAATCAAGACAAGAAGAACATGCTTTTTTCTGTAAGTCTTGTCATATCGTTTACCATCTTTCATGCATCTTGTACCAAGAGCCCCATGTAAAAGGGGCTTTTGGGCGGGATGGCAGTGTATGAGTTTGAACAGAAAATTGGAAAGGGTTCTTACTTTTCAGTGACAGCTGCAAGCAGTTTCAGGTGGGACTTTTTTTTTCATTAATAAGTCTTCAGTGCTGGCTTGTCTCTGCTCAAACTTGTCTGGAAGGGTTTAGGGACAGCAAATCCTTCATCTCAATGTCCTTTCCAGCGTTATGATTCTGCACTACCATTAAGGCCAATAGAAGTACGATGCCAGCGGGAACAGTTAGGCCAGCAATTAGCACTTCTGAAAAATGCCACCCCTTCCATTTACATACTATCAGATTCAGGCCTGTCACCGGCTTACATAGACCAAAACATTTCTGGCCAAGTGATCTGATATAGAGACCCTTCGAAGTAATAACTGCATAGCAGTTTTAAAATGGACCTCCTGGTCTTGTATCTTACTGAGCTCTCCACATAGCAAAGTTGAAGGGCCCTCTGGCCTTTGAGAGAGATTTGTACCCCTATGCTTCCCTTCATTTAAAAAAGCATTTCATTATGTTTGAGAAGATAATACTGCCAGCCTGACCCTCATTTGCCTTCTGCTTTCATTTGCCATGGGCTATGGTAGGATCAGTGAATTCAGTGGATTGGAGGCATGGAACAGGTGAGAAACTTCAACCCCACCCTTCCCAGACCATTGTAACCTGGTGAAAGGGTGTTCTTCTAAGGCTTAATCACTGGTGTGGTTGTCACTTTACCATTTGTGGCTAAAATTTTCAAATGGGCTGGCCTGAGGGAGTTAAGAACCCAGCTCCCGTTGGATTTCAGAAGGATTTCAGCCCCTAAGTCTCTGAAGGTCCTTTGAAAATCCAGCTTGCATGTTTATGGCTCTTTCATTTCACATGGTATGGGAGACATTTGTAATTAAACATGCAGTTCTCACAGGTTCTGGTTCTCTTGCTCATATCACTCTCAATAAGTAATTCGGTTGTTAGGATGGTGTGAAATCGTTTCCACCAAGACATGCAAGCCTCTCTTGCTCCTTTGAATAGCTTCAATGTCAAGTTCAGCAGAGCTCTGGTGACTGACTTGCATTGCTTTAGTGGTTTGTTTGTTTGTTTGTTTGTTTGTTTTTTTAAGATCCAAGTGGAAACATGAAAATTGAACAAGCTCAAACCGCTTCCAAGAGGAAAAATAGAGATGCAGTCAAGTTTGCAAGTTTAGTATTTGGATTTTAAGTGAGCCAGAATTCAATGGTGTTGGGATTTTGTTTTCTTGCTGCATCTTAAAGATTAATGATGGTTTCAAAATCACATTTATGTTTATATTTTGAACATTTGCCAAACCGGGAGGGTGTGGAATTTAGGCGTAAGTCCTTCTCTAATCAAAACTTAGCCAAAGCAATTTTTGAAGGAATACATATTGTACACAACATATATAGACTGTCATTATAATTGTATCTATATTGAAGGATACTAATATAAGATGTTACACTGCAGCAGCCTCATAACTGAATGACTCTGTAGTGATGCAAGCGTAACAGAACTGCTGCTATTTTAACTCTTCTTCATTGAGGGGGCAAATTTAGAGTAATTTAGCAACCAAAAAGTCTTCTGAAGAGCAGTTTCCCCTCCTTCTATAGCATTAAAAACCATATATCCATACTCTGAGCATTTGGAGAGATGTGAAGTCAGAGATCCTATATTGAGTGTTTTCTTTTCGCTTGGAATTAACTTCAACTTTTCCATGGTTCAGTAGGGGTAAGGAGAGTATGCATTACATACTGAGATGCTTCTAACCCCAAAAAACCTCAAGCCACACATGTTTTGAGAACCACAGTTTTCAATTTTTGGTGTTAAGCTTGGAAAGATTCTCACAGGATAAGCAGGATATCTCCAAAGGGGGAGAGACCAGTTGGTAAAAACAAAAAACCCCCACCAAGGTGTTATAGAAAATAGGAGTCATCAAGTCAAAGCTTGTGAAAGAAGTTAGACACTGAATCAGTGACAGGTACCAGGAAACGATCTAAGAGACCCGATTTCTAATCTTGTACAGTAACACCAGGCCACACTGAGCTACCCATTTCCTGTTGGAGGCTAAGTGATGTGAATGTTTGTATGTTCTGAGCATGAACGTGAATCTCCCCCACCTTTTCCAGGGTACCAATATTGCAGCTGGCAAGGCTGTTGGGGTCGTCATTGCTACCGGGGTGTACACAGAAATTGGCAAGATCAGGAATCAGATGGTTGCAACTGAGCCAGAGAAGACACCATTGCAACAAAAGCTGGATGAGTTCAGTCAGCAGCTCTCCAAGGTCATATCACTGGTCTGCATAGCCGTCTGGGTCATCAACATCAGCCATTTCAGCGACCCAGTCCATGGTGGGTCTTGGTTCCGGGGTGCTATCTACTATTTCAAGATTGCCGTTGCTTTGGCTGTGGCAGCCATTCCAGAGGGCCTTCCAGCTGTCATCACCACTTGCCTAGCCCTGGGCACACGCCGCATGGCCAAGAAGAACGCTATTGTGAGGAGCCTCCCGTCTGTGGAAACGCTGGGCTGCACCTCGGTCATCTGCTCTGATAAGACTGGCACCCTCACCACTAACCAGATGTCCGTCTGCAGGGTGAGTGCTGAGGCCGGGGAGCAGATCAAATGCTCTTTTGTTCCACTGGAATGTGTGCGTGGTGGTTTTGAGGCCAATGCAAAAGGCTAAGAGTTTGGCCCCCAGCTCTGTCATTGGCTTGTTGTGTGACCTCAGGGAATCCATGTCCCCCCTCTGTGCCTCAGTTTCCCCATCAGCATAGAGGATGACAGTGTTTTCCTTCCTACAGACCAAGGCTGAAACTTTGCTTTATCCTGCCAAACTTTTGCTTTGCTTATTGAGAGCTTTGGGCTGAGCACAGGGAGGCTTTGCGTTATTACAGGTCTCAGTCGTGATCTGCCTTCTCCTCCGCTGGGTGGTGAGAATGTGATGGTTTGCCTTTGGTGTTGTGCTAGGGCTATAATTGAGCAGCTCGCTGCTGCTTGCAGACAAATGAGATAACAGTTTAAAGAAGTAGCTTTCAGAAGTTATTTTAAGAACACTCTTGCTGGGAAGTTTTCCCCTTTGGTGGGAATCTACAAATGCATGTGTCTTGTTTGCAGCCTGTTCTTGCCCATGTGTGTTTACCAAGCTGGGAAAAGTTTATAAACCTAAAAGCTAGGCTTTCTTTCAGACATAAGGAGAGGGGTTGTGAGTGCAACTCTGGTCCTAATGTATGAGAAGGACTTGCACTGAGAAACCTAGGGTCAAGATGAGATGAATGCAACCTGGCTGGTCAGTGTTTGGTTTGTTTTGTTTTTAAATCCATGTTTGGTTTTCAGAAAGTTTGTGGTCAGCCATTCCATGTCATTGTACCTACAGCTGACTTTGGTATCTAAATATACCTACATGGAAACTTCATAGCATAAATATACTGTTACCAGATTTGCCCATCACTTTGTGGTGTGCTCATTTATT